AAGTAATTATAGCTTAAAACAATTAGAAGAAATGGTTGAAAAAGAAAATGGTAATGAAATAAAATACAAAATAATATTACAAATAGCTAAACTATTAGATATGGTGGATAAAGAAATAATAGAAGAAATAAATAATGAAATAATAGAATTAGAAGAAGATATCTATAAACAATTAGGATTAATCAGCTTGGGAGAAATGGAACACATTTCCCTAGAAGAATTAGAACAAGTGTTAGGTTTTTATTCTTGGCAATCCCGGTTGACAAAACTCTTTTCAGTTGTATTTATTTTCGCACTTTTTATTTCAGTGGGACTATGAGCTTTTAGATGCGAATCCAATCTGAATTGTGCTTTGCAGAGAAATTTGTGATGTTAATACTTTCAAGATTGCCACTTCGTTGATTATGACGGGGATCGAGCTGCTCAGTCAGCTCGCGGGGGTCAAGGGGGCAGCGCCCCTTGGCGGGGCCGGGGCAGCGCCCGGGCGGGGTCAAGGGGCAACGTCCGCGAAGCAAAATGCAAAATTGCATTCGAAGTTACATGTCCACCCTTGCTCGCTCGAGCGAAAGAGTTCTCGCTCGAGCGAAAGCTGCGTCTGTCAAAAAACTGAGAATGATGCTTTTCCGCTCGAGCGCAGGTTGTTTGGCTCGAGCGAAGCCACTTATGGAAAACACGCGTTTTTGGTTCCTCGCTCGAGCGAGAGAGTCTTCACTCGAGCGAGCTTCGCAGTCCCAGATTTCTATAAGTACGTGTTTCTGTCAGATTTTAGGATTACTTCTTCAGATCTTCTTTTTGGATATTAAGGTTTATATCTGGGGATATTTTGCTAGTTTTCTTTGATGTTTTGATTGAGTATTCAACTCATGGTTTAAAGAGTATACATCAAAGGATTATTTGTTTGTTGTACACAAAAGAGAGAGTTGTTCTTCGGTGGATTCTGAAGAATTCGAGCTTGAAGCTTTGGTGGATTTTGGAGTGGCTCATCGTCAAGACAATTCCGAGGTGAAGACAGGGTTGGAAGAGGCACATAGGGGTTGGTTCAATTTTGGCGTGGATTCGCTAGGTAATTGAGAGTATACATGTGTAATTGTTTTATGTCTTTTAGTGGATTGTTTTGTGGCTTATGCCCGTGATTTTTTTATAACAATTGGAGGTGTCCAATTGTGGTTTTTTCACGTAAAATCGTTGTGTCGATTTGTCTTGATTGTTTGATTGGGATTGTTATTTACTGTTTAAAATTGATACATAATCACAAATCAACATCTAGGGGATTTCTAGATTTTTCAACAAGTAATGGAAAATAATGACGCAAAAAAAGAAAATAATGTACTAGAAAATTTCAAAGACATAGAAAAAGATAATGCCTTAAAAAAAGAAACTGATAACGTTAATGATATGGATATGGTAGTAGTAAAACAAGAAGGAAGTAGCTGGTTTGCCCCACCTAATCCAAATCATCCAGATTTTAGAAATTTTACCAAGCAACAGCTAGAAAATGATACGAGAATTTATGAACATAGAAGAAGAACGGGACATTATAGTTATCTAAATAGAGGGTCTTTTGCTAGAGGAACATTAAATTATGCTGATTTTACCCCTAGGAAGGAAGTATTCTTACGGGAGGTACCATTAAAGCTAATAAGTAATACATGGTATTTATTAGATATTGATTGTGTTACAAACACAAGTGAGGTAATAAAACAATGGAAGAGATGTATGCATCATGTCTTAAATATCCATAGTAGCAGTTTGAGCGCACAAAGTTTTCTAAATTATATTGAACATAGCCTTACAGGTATAGTAACAAGCTGGTATGACAATCTAAGAAAGTGACAAAGAAAAATTAACAACAGAAACTACACCTAAAGGTATATTAAACATATTCATAAAATATATTGAAGAAGAATTCGTAGGAAAAGAGTGGGATGAAGATAAAAGAAAAAGAGAATAGGTCAGGAAATTAAGTAACATAGAAATTTTTAATATGGAATATATAGAAAATTATATATGTGAATACTCCTATTATTATCAAATATGTAGAAGTAAAATTCATTTAACCATGTTTTTTCATAAATTACCATATCCCATAAATGTTAATATAGAAGAAAAATGGTTAAAAGGATTAGGAGATACCACAAGTGACACATTGGGCCATAGAATTAAATATCTAAAAGAATGGGTAGAGCAAGAATGCATGAAAATGAAGCAAAGAAGAAAAATGAAAAAATAATATTTACATTGCTGGCAAACATCTAATTCATGGGGATGTGAGCCTTCAAGAAGAAAAGCATATAATAAGAAAAATAAAACATTTTATAAAAGAAAAAGTTTTAATAAGCAAAAATGAGAAAAATATAAAAGAAAATATTATAAAAACCCCATAATTTCAACAAAAGAAGAAGGTTTTTTAGAAAAAATAATTATTGTCCAGATGGAAAAAAGACCTGTAAATGTTGGGCATGTGGAGAAATAGGCCACTTTGCTAATCAATGTAGAAATAAAAAGAATAATAAAATAATAGAAGCTTTAGGAAGTCTGAATTATGTGGAATCAGAAGAAGAAGAAACTTTAGAATTAGCTTTAGAGAATAATAGAATTAATTGAAGAAGAAATAGAAATAGAAGGCGAAGGCTATAGCGACACTGAGGAATAGTCAAATTTTATGACGACAAAAGAAACACGTATAGAAAATTTGAGAGGAGAACAATTTGTCATAGATTACTCTCAAGAAAAGAAAAAGAAAAAGATTGAATATTACCAATAATAAGAAAGGATGAAATATATCAGAAATCAATATTCAAATTAAAAAGTAAATATATATGTGAAAGGATGGAAGAAGATATTGAAATTAAGGATTGTGAAGATGAGGTAGGAGAAATAAATTTAATAAAATATGAAAATATATTAAAGAATAATAAAGATAATAAATATAAATATATGCATATAGAGAGTGTATAAATACAAATAACACTGTTATTTGACAAAGGACAAGATATAGATATATATGCATTTTTGTGTGCTATTAGACAACGAAATTTTGGAAGATCCATAATCAGTGGAATAAAAAGTAATCTATGTAGATGACCATTAGGTTTTAATTGCAGACCAGGATATTATATTAGCTTAAAAGATGGATTCATAAATAAATTTTTAACTCTAAAAATAAAAACTGTAGGAATCGATATGCATGAAACCACTTATTCATTAAGGATATTCTAGAAAATAATACACGAGTTAGATAATACCATATGTGTGGGTAATTTTCTTACCACACTGCCCGCCTAGTAATCAGCTGGAGAGTACCGGCAGAATAGATGGCTTTAGTAACCTGAAACAGAAAGAAAAAGGCTCCGGCGGTGGCTCCTCCACCCGGGGGCACTCCGACGATCAAGTCAATATATCTCTCAAAGATAATCAAGTGCTAAACTCACAAGCTTGAGTATAAAACTGCGTACCTTAGACCCATGGGGGTGCCTCTCTTTTATAGTTTACTCAATCCAAGTCCTACTAGAAGCCTGACTTCTATGGACTCCAATTTAATACTTACTTTGGATTCTTCAAGAGATAAAGATAAACTCCCTAAGAGCTTTATCCTTATCTTGGCTAAGTCTCCTTTTTGTCCTAGGACTCTTGTCCTTTATCCGCTTATCTCGGATTCCGATATCTTCGTAGATAACCTCGGCAACTCCGAGATCACCTCGGCGTAATTTCCACAACACGTGGCACCTCGGCCAAACACGTCGGCGTCGCCATGTCACGTGTTGGTACCCAAGAAATATATCCCCACAACTGCCCCCTAGGTTCTATTACCTCGGTATTCTGAGGTGATGGAACCTATATCGATATTTCCTTCTGCATAGTGGCTCAAAAACTGTTTGGCCGAGATAATTCATTTTGAAGTCGATATGTTCTCTTCGGAGAACAAGAATGCAAATGAACTCCATCACACGCATGAGCTGTCATGCACATCTAACCGTTCCTTTTACGTGCTTTGTCTTCATAGGCCCGTGTCTGTGACGCGCCTGAAAGCTGTCTTTTATTCGTCTGCGCCGTCTGACATATCCGGTGCTCCAGGCGCAATAAATGCCCTGTTTTGCCGCCGTTTTAAGTTTTTTACAAAACTTTTCTTTCCCTTTTCCTTTCTCTATTTTCTGTATTCTGATTTCTTGTTTTTTCTCTCTCTAAAAGCTTTAGCATTCTTCGAATCTGCCATTGTTCTAAGCCCCAAGTTCTGCGACCGTCTTTATTCTTCCATTCCTGCGAAGCTTTTGTCACTATTTCAACTGTCGTATGATCTTGGCGAATATTGCTCCGGCTTCACTTTATCTGGTAAGCAACTGGCCCCCCTTAACCCTTTTTTTTCAGTTCTCGATCAGTTCTGGAGTTTCTCGCTATTACTGTTCCTCTTAAGCATTATTTGTGAATCATTCACCTGAATGCGTCTTATTTCATGATTTTTCACATGCTATGAACACTTGCACTGTTTTACCACTATTCTTGGCCTTTAACCTTTTGTATTCTTCGTGTTCTTGATAGCCCATCCCTGTTCTTGTTTCTGAAACTTCGCTTTTATTCTCTATTTTTTGTGTTTTAACCAGATCTGTGCCCTCGATCTTCGTCTTTATAATTTTAGGTTTGGGATTTGTCTGTAGAACCTTCAATCTTTAGGGAAAACTGAAACAAACCTTACCAGTCCTTACCCAGGTTTTGAAACCGAGGTTCTAGCAACCCTTCTGAAACACCTATCTTCTGAAACACAGCCTTCTTTGTTTTAGGCCGACATAATGGGTATGTGGAGACATCGGATAGACACCCCAACTAAACTTGAATTCTTTAGGCAAGAATTCTCAATTCCAGCCGATGTTCACCTCAGGCTAGGTGGGGATGACGATTCTATTATGCCTACAGATCATACGATGCCTTTTCTTATAGTAGCTTTTACTGAATGTGGACTTCGACTTCCACTTAATCCCTTCTTTTGTGAAGTTCTTCATTTCTACAAGCTGAACCCCATGCAACTTACCATCAACTCCTATAGGGTGATTAATGGTATCATAGCCTTAGCTAGGCAGGAGAATGTTAGGATTACCCTGGCCGACCTCCAGTACTGTTATACAATGTGTCCCCTTAATCTGAAGAAAAGGGGCTTTGTTTATTACCTTAAGCCGAGGTCTACCGAATTCAAAATTATAGCCGACCTCCCAGATTCCAATAAAGGGGCAGGGGATGACTATGTTATTGCTTCGGAAAATTGGGAGTTCGGCCCAGATGAAGATGTCCATATTTACCCTCTTCCTCGGACAGTTAAAGAGGGCAAGGGTAAGAGCCCAGTGTCAATACTTAGTTGCTTTTCTCAAGTCTTTAATACTTTGTCTGTTTCTGATGTCTGTTTGTTTTGTTTTGCAGATCTTCATCAGCCACCCAAAAACTTCCGCCAAACCTACTTTCCAGGCAAAGACCTGAAGAAGCTCCTAGATCTTCCAATCCACAAGCGTAAGGCGCCCCTGTTACTAAACTTTATTCCAACATACAAATCAACTCTGCCCGACGTCCCAAAGTCAAGGAGAAAGATCCTATCTCCTCCCTCTGCTACCACTCTACAAACAGCATCATCATCGCGGGCTGACCAAGGGTCAACCTCTGATCCAGCCGGCCAACCATCAACTTCTGCCCCATAACTAATCCCAATACCAGAAAGAAAACGTCGGCGAAGACTCGTAAAAACTGCCGAGATGGTTCGTCCAAAGCCTGTTGCCCACGATCTCCTAGCCGACCTTCCAACCGACGACAAAGACAAAGACGAATGACACAATCTGTACATGACACAAACATACCGACTCAGTGATTTTTAAAAAATACAGAACACAATATGCCTGGGACACATATTTTATTTATATATATTTTTTTAATTTTGTTGTGTGCCAAATATAAAAATAGTTTATTCAAAGATAATGAACAAAAAATGAGATAACACTGGAGCAATTAAAATTAAAAAGTCATTTATTCAATAACTTAAAAATCAAGATATCATTGACGTAACAATGCTTCTAAATTATGCAAAACAATATTGAAATACAATGTATTCATCTTACTAATATTTCAAAATATATTTAGAGTGCACAGGTTGCATTTTGAAGAATGCAGAACATTTGTGTACCTGGCTGAGCAGACTTTCATCGGTGGGAAGCTTCAAGTCATCCTTGGTGTTACCATTCTCAGTCAAAAGACTCACCTGCAGATCAAAGTTTATTTGGTTTACAATTCAAAAATTGTGGCAACCCCTAACAGGCAAAGCCTAAAGCTGGATCTGAAAATGGAAGTTACTACATCCAAACTTATTAAGTTCTGAATAATAACATAAAATCTTACACATTTCTAACAAAGAGACATGGATAGTTCTTGGCTGGACACAAAGCACTAATAAAACAGCGGAAATTACCCATGGCCAAAATTACAAACACAAAATATTGTTGTCAACATCATCTCTTGTCAATAGAATAATAACAAGTCTAAATTTCCAAATGTCTATAGCAACCCAATTAAATTACATGGCATTTTTATCTACCAATAATTAATCCAGTGAGATCCATTGGATTCAGAAATATTCAAGATGTTCACACGAAATTACTTACAAAACCATCTTCAGAAATATCAATCAGTTGATAATCAGTACGAGTAACATGAGGAACCTGCAAAGAAGAGAAGTGACTTAGAAGCTATGAGAGGAATAGTCAAATTGGGGAGTATCTTTGTTATAAAAAGTTCTAATTTTTACTTTCAAACTTTTTTATTTTATTTTATTTCAAGTCTGTCTAATTTAAAGGAATCTAAAAAGTAAATTTTCAGTGGATTTTTTTTTATATAAAAAAAAACCCCTAGCTTTTTAATTTTTTTTAGTGGATTTTTTTCCCAATATATATATATATTAGTTTTTAGATCTGTCTAGTCTAGTGAGGCTTGAACATGAAAAGTTTTTAATTTTTTTTTTTTAAAAAAAAAGTTAGGGTCATTACAAAAACCCTTAAGATTTAAGCCTTTTAACAAAATAAATTCTAAATTTTTAATCTTATCAATTCAAACCTCAATATTTTGATTTATTTTCAATCTAAACTATTTATTTATTTTTGTTAAGTAAAATTGTTAGAAAAGTGTACATTAGTCATTAAATTCAATGCAAATGAGTATTTTAGACATTTTTTTATACACCTACATTATTGAGTTTCATGACTAAAATATTATTTTTTGTGTCAATTTTATTTAACAAAAATAGACAAATGATTTTGATTTCCTTATTACATCCAGGAACCAAGTCTTGCACAATCTTCATCCTCTCACCGATCTTTTCTCTCCTAGCCTGACAAACAACAAGTTTCAATCTGCAAACAAAAAATCTACAAATAAATTCAACAAATGATAAATAGCAATTCCAACAACTCTGAAAAGAAATTACTCTATCTGCTAAACTGTGGCTATCAGTAGCTTGACCTCTTCTTGCTCTTACATGGATATAATCTTGCTTATTAGGCTGCTCACTTGGCTTTGTATGCTTCTCAACTGCCATGTTTCGTTGCCCTGAATTTGATTCCATTTTTGACTTTGAGTTTGAGCCACCATTTTCAACTCTTGATCTGGATAATTTCATTCGTTTTCCATCTGAATTGTTCTGCCCAGAAAAACGAAAAACAAAACTATTTCACATACTAAAACACAAAATGGACGGAGTAAAATAATCAAAGATGAAAAGTTAACAAATCAAACAACCCTAAAAAGAAATTTATGCATGTAATAGGCTCAACTTTATCAAACATAGAAGCATATTGATATTCCTCCTACATCCAAATGACAAAAAATACAAAAGAAATAAACAATGAAAGGAAAGCAGTGAACATACATGAAGATCAAGGATCAGCACCCTGATTCAACTCATCCAATTCACTATCACCGACTGATTCCGATTTCCTACTTCTATGCCTAGAACTCCTGCTCTTCCTCTTCCTCCTCGACCACGAATCATCCGAATCAGCATCTGAAACAAATTGAGACGGAGAGAGAGAGAGAGACGTAAGAAAGATTAGGGATTTTGAGATTGGGGATTTTGGGTTTGGGGTGGGGGGAAACCTGAGTGAATGGAAAAAGGGGAGGGAGGAACGGAAATTTTTTTGGATTTTTTTTTCATTACAAATGAATATTTGAATAATAAAATGATTTTTTTTTTTTTTTGCAACTTTTGAGATTGGGGATTTTGGGTTTGGGGTGGGGGAACCCGAGCGGGAATGGAAAAAGGGGAGGGGGGAATGGAAATTTTTTTGGATTTTTTTTTCATTACAAATGAATATTTGAATAATAAAATGATTTTTTTTTTTTTTTGCAACGGAGGATGTCGTAGTCAAAAAAAATATTTTTTATTAAAATAAATTTTTTTATAGTTAATGATTTTTTTTTTCATGTAGTAAGGTTGAAAATTTATTTGTTTCATATTTATTTTACTGAATAAATTTTTTTTTCTTTAATTTGATAGAAGTAGGGATAATATTTTCCATTAAAATAAAATTAATTTTTTGTGGTCAATGAAAAATATTTTTTTGCAACCCTTTTTTTTTTGTTACTAAAAATCAAGAACTAATTTTTTGTGGTAGAGGATAGGAAGTGGCAGTAGTGGTTAAGGTGGTAGATAAGAAGTGATAGTGGTGGTGGTAGTGATGGTAAAGGAGATAAGTGTGAAGTTGTGGTAGTGGTAGAGGAGATAGAGTAGCGGTGATGAAGGAGAGGTAATGGTAGTAGTAGTGGTGGTAGTGGAGTGGTAGCGATGGTGGTAGTAATGATAGTTGTAGAGGTGGAGTGACAACAGTGGTAGTAGTAGTAGTAGTGGAATGACATTTGTAGTAGTGGTGAATGTGGTAGAGAAGATGGGTGGTGAGAGAGAGATGAGTGAGAGACAGATAGAGAAGAGAGATAGAGAGAAAGAGAAAGAAAGAGAGAGAGAGAGAGAGAGAGAGACAAAGACAAAGTGATGAGCGAGAGAGAGACAAAGTGGTCGCGAAAGGTGCATTTTCTTATAGTGGATCGATAAATCGAGAGGGTGCTCAGTAAATAGAGAAAACGGAAGGGAGAGAGTGAGCAACGCGAACACAGTGGGAGAGAGATAGAGAGAGAGAGAGAGAGTGAAAGACAAAAAAAGAGATAGAAAGAAAAGAGAGATGAACGAGAGAGACAAAGAGAGAGGTAGAGAGAAGAGAGATGAGCGAGAGAGACATAGAGAGAAAAGAGATGAATGAGAGAGACAGAGAGATAAGCGAGAGAGAGATGAGAGAGATAGAGAGAAGAGAGATGGGTGAGAGAGATAGAGAGAAGAGAGATGAGCAAAAGAGACAAAGAGAGAAAATAGATGAAAAAAGAGATAGATGAATGAGAGACACAGAGAGAGAGAGAGAGAGAGAGACAAATAGATAGACAGAGAGAGAAGAGTGATGAATGAGAGAGAGAAAGAAAAAATAGAGAAGAAGATAAAAAAAATAGGAGAAAAGATATAAACAAAGAGAGAGAGACAGAGAGAGAGAAAAAAAAAGTAAAAAGAGATAAACGATAGAGAGACAGAGAGAGATGAACGAGAGAGCGAGAGAGAAAAAAAGAAGAGAGAGAGAAGATATATGAAAGAGATAGAGAGAAGAGAGATAGACGAGAGACACAGAGAAAAAGAGAGAGACAGACAGACAGAGAAGAGTGATGAGTGAGAATGAGAAAGAAAAGAGAGACAAAGACACAGAGAGAAAGAGAGAGACGGACAGACAGAGAAGAGTGATGAGTGAGAGAGAGAGAGAAGAGAGACATAGACGTATAAAGAAAGGGAGAGACAGTCAGATAGAGAAGAGTGATGAGTAAGAGAGAGAAAGAGAAGAGAGACAGAGACAGAGAGATAAGAAGATGAAAAAATGGGTGAAAAGAGAAATGTTCAAAAGAGTAAGACGACGTCGTTTATAGTAGATCGATAAATCGAAAAGGAGCTCGATAAATAGAGAAGATGAGAGTAAGAAAGTGAGCAAGGCGAACATAGTGAGGGAGAAATAGACAAATAGACAAGTAGACAGAGAGAGAAAGAGAGAGAGAGAAGAGTGATGAGTGAGAGAGAGACAGGGAGAGAGAGAGATAGACAGAAAAAGAGATAGAGATAAAGAGAGAGAGATAGAGGGAGAGATAGAAAAAGAGAGAGAAACAAGAGATGAGCGAGAGATAGACAAAAAGAGAGAGAAATAGAGCGAAAAGAGATGAGCGAGAGAGAGACACAGAAAAAGAGAGAGGCAGAGAGAAAAGAAATGGACGAGAGAGATAGAGAGAGATAGAAAGATAAGAAAGAGAGAGAAAAGAAATGAGAGAGATAGAGAGAAGAGAGATGAGCGAGAGAGACAAAGAGAGAAAACAAATGAGAGTGATAAAGAGAAGAGAGATAGACGAGAGACACAGAGAGAAAATGAGAGAGAGAAACAGACAGACAGAGAAAGAAGAGTGATGAGTGAAAGAGATAAAGAGAAGAGAGAGAAATAGAGACAGAGAGACAGGAAGATGAAAAAATGAATGAAAAGAAAAATGTTATATCAAAAGAGTAAGACGACATTATTTTTTTTAATTTTTTTTGCGATAGAAAAATACCGTTGAATTTATTCAAACAATTTTGTGACTGTATATATATGAAGCTGTCTCAAAACCACAATCACTATGCTAGGTTAGAGTTTTCCAAAAACTCTTTTGAGAAAATTATACTTTCTTGTTTTCCATGTTATATTATTTTTACTAAATTTTTTTAATATTTTAAATATTTTTTTAATTTTTAGACACACCTAACATAAATACACCTAAAAATTAAAAAAATTGTAAAAAAAATCTTTTAAAAATTCACTAAATACCAAAAATACAATAATTCAATACATTTTTTTTTGTATTTTTGTGTATTTATTAATTTTTAAAAAAAGATTTTCATAATTTTTTTTTAAGATACATCTAAGTAAGGTGTATCTAAAAAAAATATTTAAAATTTTAAAAATATTCACTAAAAACAAAAAAAAAAAACACGAAAGTCACTTTTTGCGACGGCAGAAAATGCCGTCTCAAAAAAGCAGAGTATTTGCGACGGCACCATTTGCCGTCTCAAAAAAGCAGAGCATTTGTGACGGCACAATTTGCCGTCTCAAAAAATGAGAGTATTTGCGACAGCAGAAAATACCGTCGCAAATGCTCCGCTTTTTTGAGACGGTAAATGGTGCCGTCGCAAATACTCTGCTTTTTTGAGTTGGCAAATGGTGCCGTCGCAAATACTTTGCTTTTTTGAGACAACATTTTTTGCCGTTGCAAAAAGTGACTTTTTGAGACGGCAATTGTGCCGTCGCAAATAGTTCCGTCTCATAAACCTACTTTTCTTGTAGTGCCGGCTGTGTGGAACTTGTGATTGAGTGTTATTCATGTAGTCCCTATTAGAGCATCCGCATCAACTGAGGCAAAATAGCAAAAAGGTAAAATATAGCTAACAAATCATAAAATTCTTCCTCTATCAGTCTCAACAATTTTTTTTCTAAATTAACTTTTTGTTGAATTTGTTACAGTACCTCAACAAATTTGTTGAGATACTATTCATTAGTTATTCAATATTTTTTTTTATAGACAGGTTAATATATTTTTTATTATATTTTCTCACCCACCGAACGTCGTCCCTGATGTCCCGTGAGTGCCTACAG